GACCGCCTCGGATAAGCTCCTTATCTTCCTAAGGGAGGAAGATATGGACATCTCACTGATACTCACCGACGCCCGCTATAACCTCTTCTACACTGGTATATCACGTAAAGCTTCCGCGTGTGTATTTGTTAAAAACATAATAAAAGCTTTCTTTCGTTAACTTGGATTTGATAAATGAATGAAGCTGTATTACCCGTATACATGGCGCACGACAGGCCGTGTCCGCCACTGAAAGTCGTCCCTTTACAAAGGCTAACAGGAGCTACTCCAGTATTACTCGGCTGCGATGCCAATTCACGACATACATTATGGGGCAGCTCGGAAACCAATGATAGAGGTGAGTTCTACGTTTAGGTTTAGAGGTAGTACTCCCACTTTCATATTTCCTAATGTCCTTGATTTTTGCGGTTGGGAAGAGGTCCTAGACCTAACTCTGCTAACCGAGGGGAGCCAATAAGTGGAGAGTATCTCGGACCCCCATAGAATACTCTTTGAGGTAAATATTGCGGCGGATACGCCTATTCCCTATAGAAACCCTCGTAAAACAGATTGAGACTTATTTCAACAAGTTATTTAAAAGAATTGCAGAAAATGCCAGTTGAAGATATTCCTACAAGGGGCGAGCTGGACGCCAAAGCGGACAGCCTGAATAAGGCCTTCGGAAAGGCCCTTACGAAGCATTGTCGGTATGCGATACGGGGCGCGAAGGATGCGTCCTGGAGGGAACTTTTGCGATATATTTATCGAAAATTCAGCTGCTAACAGCGCCATCAGACTGCGTGCCCTGGGGCTCTGAAAGGAAAGACCATTCAGGCACGGCTTCATCCTATGCTCAATACCGTCTGACTGTATCCTGCCAAAGTCCTGGGTTCACCATAAACCCCGCACGAAATTCCCAAGCCCCAGTGACTGGAAGCAGGAAAATTGCGGGTTCTTTCAAGGCTTAACTGTCTTTACGGATGGGTCAAAGATGGAATGCGGATTTGGTGCTGGGATTTTCATTGAGTACTATAACCTAAAGTTATCCTTCCGCCTACCAGACTATGCAAGAGGCTTTGAGCAACCGACCCTAACAGTCGAACACATCAAATGAGTTTGAAAATTTTGAAATCCGTTTGATTTGTTCGCGCACCACGCCACTAACGAGAAAAATGACATCGAACACGAACAAATCAGAAAAATTTGTTCGATGCTAATGGCTAGTATAACAGCAATGCTCAAATACTGTACTTATAATTCAATGGTAACCTCATAATATAAATAGTTGATTAATCAGATCAGGCAATATAGTTGATTAATCAGAAATGGAAAAGATAATTAAATTACTACTTAGTGTTTTTGTATGTGCGTTTATGTATGTATTTACATATGCACATATTCATACATATATGTATTTTGAACCCTAAACAGCCTTTTAAATTTTAAATTATGAAAATACTTAGGCTATCTGCACACTTGTCGTCCAATCATAGTTGCGTTATCGTCTCGCCCTGAAATTTTGAGCCGAGTACATGCATTTCAAAGGAGATCTGCACACTTGTCGTTATCGGCTAGTTATCGGCAAATTGTAGAAGATGCAGAAACGGATAAGTACGGCACTGTCGTTTGCTAATCGTTGTGCACGCATTGTTTGTTTACATTTTATGGAAAAATTAGTGAAAAAGTTAATATTTGCATACAAATTAGTATTTTTGCATAAAATCTGTGGAAATTATTAAAAAGTGTATAATTGCATTAAAATTCAATAAATGTGAGCGTTTTAACTATAAAATATGACGAAATTGTAAAAAGTCTCTGTGTGCATGTACAAAACACGTATCAGGAAAAGAAAAGAAGAGATATTACCGAAATATTAGGTCTAGAATTGTTGCAGCCCAGTCTATATTTTAAAAATTGCAGGTTTTTTTTTAATATTTCGCGAAAATATCAACCAAAACACAAAATACCTGCTCCAAGTGAATTTTTAGACGCCAAATGAATTGAAATATCACGACCGAGTGTGCGAAAGTGTAGTCGTCATGTAATCGTTGCATCATGATTGTGACGGTGAAGCAACTATGATTGGACGACCAATGTGCAGAAAGCCTTAGTCATTTCACTAAGAGTGGTTATTTTCCTACCGGGTCTTTAAAAATGTATGTACTTAAACGCATACATACATACGTGCAAGCAGATACACTTTGTATATTTTTTTAGGTATACCTGGTGTGTACATACATTTATACCCAACAAACACTGAATATAAAAATTCCAAGTGTGAGAAAATCGTATTTCTCAATTTGATTTTCAGCATTGTTCATCATTTGAAACTACACATTCCCGCAGACATTGTTTATCGACTTAAAAACGCATTTCGTTCCATTCCATCTGTCTTATAGCTCACCCAACGAATAGCACTTCACATGTATAAGTCTGTTGGGTTTTGATTTTTACGTAAAAATGGTATAACAGTGCAAAGTATGCATAACTGGGCTATTAATATTGCAAAGTTGTCAAAGTCTATCGGTAGTCTGCTACATCCGTGGAGTTTTAAAAAAGTCATCAAAATTTTCGTAAGAATTAGAAAAGGCTTTCGATAATAATAATGTGTGAGAAAATTTTTTTAAGTCATCGATAACTATTATTTTAAGACATATATAATAAAATTCTTTTCATAATGAGGCATATTCTGGATTTCGTACGAATCGAAAAATTGAAATTTTTGTATAGAAAATGATAAGAAAATTTCATGATTTTCGATTCGGACGAAATATTTTTAAGTTTTCAAAAACTTTTACTTTGAAAGTCTTTGAAGATTTAAAGATATTTATCTCTCTGATAATTATTAAGAAAGGACTTTTATAGTATAAGTCCTTGAATAATATGACAATTACTGATTGACTTTTATTCTTTTCTCTTATAATAGTTATGTTATTAAAAAAATCGCAATAAATCACAGAATCGGAGAAAAAAGTTGAAATTTGTTTCCAGTAAATGCTTTTTTTAATCATTTATATTTTCAGTAGAGCTTTATCACTTTAATTAAACGTTAAAGTTAAATGTTATCGGGTCTTTTATTTTGCAATAAAATTACTTCGCAAACTGTATGCAACTAATTGCAAAACAAACTGTAAGCAATCCATTCGTCTTTGTCAAGCTCGATAAATAAGGTATTAAATAAACTGAATAAATAAATATTCATTTCCTGTAAAAAATAGTGTGTTTCTAACATGATGCAATAATACAAGGTGGTATCAGTTGTGACAGCTCGATTTGACACTACCTTAGCTCAGTAGAATGATAAGAAAAACGGGAAGAAATGAATCCCCATATGGGGAAAAAATATAAAATTTCACATTTTCTCCTTAACAAAATTTGCTTTTTTATAGTATATTCGTTATGAAATGAAATAAAATAAGATAAAATACCTGTTTAAGAAAACAAAGTGTGTATACTGAGAAAAAATAAAAAGCATTCAACTATATTAATGGACAAAGCTGCTGGAGCTGAGCCTGCCAGCTGAGCTATTCAGGTACGGCGGCGAGGAGTTGATAAGGTGCATGCGTCAACTCTTTTATGCAGAATATGGTCAGATGAACGCATGCCCGACGTATAGAATTTGCTTAAGATGCTCTGCCCAATCCACAGGAACGGCGACCCCGCCATACGCGCCAACTACCGCGGCATCAGCTCTCTAAGCACGCAAGGTATTATCGAACGTATTGTGTGAAAGACTGAAGCCTACCGTCAACGAACTGATTGAGCCTTATCAGTGTGGCTTTAGACCTGGCAAATCCACCATAAATCAGGTACTACCCTTACGCCAAAAATTGGAAAAGACCCGCGAGAAAAGGAGCGAAACTCACCATTTGTCGACTTCAAAGCCGCGTTCGGCAGAACTAAAAGGTATCCCCGCGAAACTTATACGACTTTGTAAAACGATGTTGAGCTCCGTCAGAAGGGCGACTCCCTGTCATGTGATTTCTTTAATCTAATGTTAGAGAAGCTGAAGAGCTGCAGAACTGAACAGCTCAGGAACAATTTACTACAAAAGCGTGGAGTTGCTGGCGTATACTGATGACATTGACATCATCGGTAATAACTACTGCGAAGTCTGTTCTGCCTTTTTCGAGTTATATAAGTAAGCAAAGCGATTGGGTCTGGTGATAAACGAAAACAAGACGAAGTACATATCTCCTGTCATCAAACAAACAGTCAGCGCATTCGCGCCTTGGCCCTCACCTCACTGTTAGCAGTAATAATTTTGAAAAAGTAGAGAATTTCGTTACCCTGGGGACTAGCATTAACACCGATAATAATGTAAGTATCGAAATCCAACGGATAATCACTTTAGCCAACAAGTGCTACTTTGGACTAAGCAGGCAATTCAGAGGTAAAGTTCTCTCGACGTACGAAAACCATACTCTATAAGTCAGACATCATTCCTTGCTGGTAAATGGAGCAGAAGCATGGACGATGAGACGGCTCTTGGGAGTGTTGGGTGGAAAGATTTTGCGTAAGATTTTTGGGCCTTTACGCAGTGGCGATGGCAAGTACCTCAGAAGGTGCGATGCAGCAAATTGAAATACGGCGGCACCGATGGCTGGGCCATGTCGTTCGAATGGATACCAACGGTCCTGCTATGAAAGTATTCAACTCGTAACCCACTGTTGATAGCAGAGCACGAGGAAGCCCAACACTGTGAAGGAGAGACCAAGTGGATAAGGATTTTATTTCACTTGGCATTTCCGTTTGAGAAAAAGTTGTGAACTCAATATATGTATCTCAATTTAAAAAGAAAGGAAATTTCCATATTAAAAAGTGTCTTACATTTGAGAACGAACGTTCGAAGTTTGAGAAAAATGTTTATTGGGTATGTACAAATTTTTGCTGGTGTATACCTGCTCTCGCACAAACTGCTTATGTATGTGCCAGTTACTGTAGCAACAACTCGGTTTAGTTGCGTTCTTCTCGTCTACTACGGGCTCATCGGTTTCGAAAATAACGCAATGCCCGCAGTATTGCATTGAACTTCGTCGACGATGGAGGATTTCATAGCCGAAGTGCACAAAAGAGAATTTTTGTGGAATAAGAAGAATATACCTATTGGCGAACAAAAAAGAATTACGGACAAACTATGGCGAGAAGTAGCGGCCGCGTGTGGTATATCAAGTGAGTGCGATTTAAAAATACACATGCATATGTATGTACATATGTATAGTATATGTTTAAGGTTTATCACATGCATCTACATACATACATATATACGTTCACGTTTAAGTATATGTACATATGTATACATATCAACATGCATTTGTACGTTGTATATTTGGAGCCCAACAAAACGTGTTTTGTCTGTGGTGAATTTTTCATCGTTTGCTTGTCAGAGGTTAGTTATTTTCGGGGATACTACAGGGAACAATTTTTGGCTGGGTTTACGCAAGTTTCAAATGTTTGTGCATACATAATTTTTATTTCGTAACGGTTTCTGGCAATAAACTCACTTACTTTATATTGAACATATTTGCGAGCATGAGGCATTGGTTCCATTTCCGAATTGGGTATCAAATTTTCGATTGGCTTCAAATTCTTTTTATTTGTTCAAGCAATTTTTTTCTTTTTCTCCTTCGGAGATATATAGTCTGTTCGATAAGCTTATAAAATTTTGCAAATTATCGGGTTTTGGCGTTCGCGTATGCAAAAAACCTGTAAAGTAGGGTAAAATTGGGCGCAAATTGAAAAAATTTTACCAGCAAGAAAACAGCTGATCAAAGTAATCTGTTTGCAATTTATGAAATTTATTTTGATGATTTTTATGTTAAAAATAACTTGAAGCCCAAACAAAAATGTTGCGGAATAAGGCAAATGCTTATTTAATAACGTTTGCTTAACGAATAACTTTACCAAAACTTTATTTGTTTATTTTTTTCGTGTTTTCAGTTTTACGCTTTTTATGTATACAAAAGCTCCGATCAGCTGCACTAAAACAAGTTTTTTCTAATTTTGCGTTCGCGTTATTTTTGAGATATTTTCCAATTTCAGAGATAATCGTTCGTTACTCTAATGGAAGTTGCTGCTGGATATTTTTCACTGGATATTTGTTCGAGCAGACTAATAATCTGTCAAAGTTTTGATTTTTTCCTGATTCTAGTTAGCCATTCATGAATTTCTTGAATTGGTCATATTCACTCTTAGTAGAAACTTCATCTTAACGTCATTTTAAAGCTAAAGAAATGGGCTTAATGACTCGTTCTAAAGCTATCTTAGTTATAAATAGCTAAATTTTTTGAAGTTGATTTTATAGGGAGGACTAGTAATTTAGGAATTTAAACAATGTCATCGTAATCTCTGATTAGTTATCGAGAAAAACCATGTTTTTAAGAAAATAGAGTTTTTAAAGAACTATTTTAAGCAGGGACGTGAACCGGGTGAAAAATTTGGTCGCTGCGGTTCAGCGGTTCGAACCGTTTTTGCACTTTTGGATCGGTTCGTCAAATCGGTTTGTTTGGTCTTTGGACCGGGGTTTCGGTTCGGTTCTGAAAACAAAAAAAAAAAAACGCGCAAGTATAAGTGTCAAGTGTCAAGTGCAACAACGCGCAAGTTTAAATGTCAAGTGTCTGTCAAATGAGATGGGTTGCCTTTACATTTGTTATTGCCATATGGTAAACAAACATGGTAGGTATTACCATTTTTAACAAAAAGAAAAAAGTGCGTACATTTATCTATTGCAAATTGCTTGAAATGAACCGTTAAACCTTCGGTTTTGGGTTCGGATCAAACATTTATGGAAAATTTCGGTTCGGTTAATGGTACAGTTAATTAATAAAAAAAACCGTTTTCCGGTTTAAAATCGGTTCACGTCCCTGATTTTAAGACTCAGCTTTATCATTAGTTTAATTTTTCCCTAACCGGTTCACTTTTCACTCTTGGTTTCCATGGGTTTACTATGGCCGGATGACAAATTTTCGGGTGAATTTTTTTTTCAGGCGAAACTCAGGATAATGCATATTATTACTTTTTTTGTCTGTGTTGTATTTTGTTAGAGTTAAAATTGTTCTGTAACTTGTTTTCGAATAATATGTGTACTGTTCAAAATAATATTGTTTTTTACAAGCTAGAGTACATTGTTACACCAGATAACTGTTTCCATAACTTATTTGTTTATTTTATTTCATAACAAAAATTTCATACAGAGAAAATGGCTGTACGAGTAAGTACACAAAGAAAATGACTTTGCAATTTTCTTACGAATGTTTCATAAAATATGTAGCTATACAGTGCAATTTCACGGTATTCTTTTTGAAACGATTTTCTAACATTTTCTCCAAATTCATATTCTTTATTAGTGACAAAAAAGCAGATTATATTCGCCAAAGATTCATTCCAGAAGCCATTTTCTTCGTACAGTTAATAACATTGATAAGGTGAATATGTTCAGTCTATGAAGCATAACATGAATAAACAAATAGATTCATAACTAAACTCCCAAAAAATGGCAACGATATTTGCATCTACATCCATTTTTGCTGGCGCTGGTTTTGTTTTCTTATATACACGAAAGATGCAACGGCCTCTAAAAGTCACTAAAATTTCATCTACCGTCAAATATTCTGGATCGATCCAATAGTAAATCTAGTGCAACTTTATTTCTTCCAGAGACAGCAGCCAAAACTCGATGGCGAAGTATACGTGATCAATTTCTTAAAGAGATAAAGAAGGTGCCAGTATACAGCTCCGGTGAATCCTATTACATCGAGGAAAGTAAGAAACCGAGATATACTCATTTCAATAATTTAATCTTCCTACTGGATACACACGCGCCAAGACAAACAGTTATTGATATTAAGCCAGACTCCATAATTGATATTCGCTCTACCGAGTCTGGTAATTCGGGCACTGAATGTGAATGTGTGAAAAATGTAGCTGAAGATTTTCCACCTACGCTCCCAGAACCACAGCCTCAAAATTTTTCCCCACCCAGGAGCACGGACAATATTTTTACAAGCATTAGAAAGGTGTACACACTGGAGGAAGATCTGGATCCTAATTTGTGTGATGTAATATGGAAACAAAGCTCTGATGCATTTGACTTCGAAGAAAGCAAAAATAAAATCGATGATGGTGTTCCGCCTCTAGTAATGATAAGGCCTCAACCACCAGATCCAACCTATACTGGCGGCAAACGAGCTTATCCTCAAGAGTACGATGATAAAGCGGATGTCTCATACTTGAAGAATAATTACTACAACTTCCCAGACAAAAGAGTAGAACTTGAACTAGAAAATCAAACAGAGCCTGAAAACTGCACTGACGAAAATTTATTATTTCTGCGGTCACTTTTGCCTTATATAGATAAGATGGACCCAATGCAGCAGTTACGACTGCGCATGCGGTTTCAGGAAATAATGCTTGAAGAACTGGGAGGAACATAACTTTGAGGCTTGAGGTGATGTTCTACTGCGCGCAGTTAATATTTTGCTAGTGAAGTATACTAAGTAATTCCATTTACTAATGATATTGCATTTCATTTTATGAAATATTGTTTGTTAGGTTATAAAGTAAAATTAATCAATAAATATATATTTTAAATAAATATATCAATTATATAAATAGGTAATCATGTTTCCCATACACCCCTTTTACGGCTAAACTATACTTCTAAGGTATAAACAGTTATACATCATTAGAAAGGTATTTTGATGCTGATGTGCAGGCAATTTTTAAAATTTCAAATTAGTTTAAAATAGAGCGAAAAAATCAATCAAAAAAGTCACACCAATACCAATGCCATACATGTACATGGTTGGGGCGGAATTTCAACCGCTGGGCGAACACTAGTATTTTAAATTTTACGACGTGCTTGGCCGTAATTCTCTTCGAGTTTGTAGTATGCGTCTTGATGTTTTTACACAAATTGAGTGATCACCAGTATTTCGCGGCCTTCTAACGGCAAATCTATATATTATTCTAAATCTTCTTCTTTTCTTTCTTCTTTATTGGCGCTGTAACCGCCTAAGCGATCAGCACGCCAGTCATTTCTCTTCTGTGCTAACTGACGCCAATTGGAAATGCCAAGTGAAGCCAAGACCTTCTCCACCTGGTCTTTCCAACGCAGAGGAGGCCTTCCTNGCGTTGAATATTTTCAGAGCAGGAGCGTTTCTGTCCATCCGAACGACATGGCCAAGCCAGCGGAGCCGCTGAATTTTAATTCGCTGCACTATGTCTATATCGTTGTAAAGCTCATACAGCTCATCTTTAAATCGTCTGCGATATTCGCCATCACCAACGCGTGAAGATCCGTACATCCTTCCCAGAATCTTTGTCTCGAAAACTCCTAGAGCCGCCTCATCAGATGCTTTTATGTCCATGCCTCGGCGCCATACACCAGCACAGACATGATGAGTGACTTATAGAGTGTGATCTTTGTACGACGAGAGAGGACTTTACTTCTCAATTG